ACCTGGCAGGTTAAAATATATGTATGAGAATGAGAAAACCAAGTTTCTCTCCAAATCTGAAGAGGCAGTATTCCAAAAGAAAAGATTCAGAAGTATCAAAATGATAATTACACTTTAAAGTAGAATACATTTCTGTTTGTAATCATCATAATGGTAACAACATTCCATGTACTACATACTTCCTCTGTCCTGGTGCTATTGTAAAATGCTGATGGATGGAAAACCTACTTTCAGCACATATCATATTAGGTTGTCACAGGAACACAGACAAGGCCATACACAGACTTCTCAACTGTACTATATGTTACAGGAAATGTCATGCTGTGATCAGCTCAATCTCTATTTCTCTGTACTGCACATTTACATGAGTCTGAAACAATTGCAGACTGTTAAAAGATCTGATAATAAAGAAATAAGTGGTCCTTGGGAAGCTCTAGTTCTCCCACCAAAGGAAGCCAAGGTGGGAAATTTTCCAGGAAGAAACATTTAATTCAGAAATGCCAATTTACTGACCCCAAAACATTAAGTTTTGCAACATCCTAACCAATGATTAAACTTTTGTTGACCATAAGATTCATTTAATTCCCACAAAGAGAACAATCTTAAAAAACATTATACTTTATTGGTTTACAACACGTAGCAGAAAAAAACCCCAGCACTCCATGTTTAGCTTGCACCAAAATTAACATGTTTGAAAGTTGAAAAGTAAGGCTGTACTCCTATCACATATCTACCACACATAAAAAAAAAAAAAACCAAACCAAAACAACAACAAAAAAAACCCACAACAAAAGCACAAACCCCCAAAAACTGTAGCTTTAATTTTACTCTCTACTAGTCTTCTGGTTAGAAGTAATTCAATTTAGAATATATATTTAGCACCCTGGAAGCGCCTATAATCATGCAAATTTTTATTTAATTTACAGACAGGATCATTTGCAAGTACTCCAGAGTGACTCTTACCTACATAGCGTTCCACATCTAAAACAGAGAAAGTTGGCGGAGGAAGTCTAAGCCCCAGACCATCTAATTTAGGAACCATAATGGGAACATCAAATCCATGTTTCTCCAAGTATCTGTGTGTCAGCTGGCTTCCATGCATTTTCAAAATGACTTCATCAGCACTGGTGGAAAGAAATAATGGAATATTAGCAGAAAAGCATCCTCCGAGGACTACCAAAAAAAAATAAAGTCACAGTTTGGGGGAGGACAGACGGAAATGGCTACATCTGAATCCAAAAGAAGTGCACCCAGTACTATTATATTAAGTATTTACCTAAAAGACAAAGCAACCTAAACCAGCAAGGAAATGTTGGCTTTCATGCATAACCTGGGAACTCATAGTCTTTTTATATGACTGAACACAGTAATTTAAGAGGATGGGGAAAAGGAATTCTCAGAGAAGGCATTAAAGTACATTTTGGTAATAGGAACAACAAACTCCTTTAAAGAACTCTTAAGTCATTATGTTTCAGTGAGACAGCCAATCATACACAGCTCAGGATGAAAGTACAACTGTACAACCATGTTCCTCTAAAGCATGTGAGAATGGATACACTACCAGCTCATATAAATGTTTTATGTTATTTAGAATGAAATTGAGGACTATTCCTGGACTAGAGGAATAGGCAGACAATATTGTGACAGTTCAGGCACAGAAAAAGAAAGAAAAAAACAAACCCAAAACAAAACCCAACCACTCATGCTACAGCCCCCACTCCCCCACAAAAACAAATAAGCAAAATCCCAAAAACTCAGAACCCCCACACCACCCTGTAGCAGTCCCAACAGATAACATGTCCCAGTGCAAAACTGATCAGGGAAAGCTACTGCATGAAAACGCAAATGCATCCATCTGAAACAGTGATGGGGCAGGGGGCGATTCTAAAGGAGGAGGAAGTAATCCTCAGCCTTCATTTTTTTGAAGCAGAGAAACGTCAGTCACCTCCTCCAAGACTCACTCAGCCAACGTTTCTCTATTTTTTTTCCACTGAAATGTGTAAGTAGCTTCTGTACCTTGGGAAAGAGCGAGCCCGCAGCTGTTTAACGAAGGTCCGTGTTCCAGCCTGCACTGGTTTGGAGCCATCATCCAACTCTGTGTAGTCATGTCTATGCCAGTTCCTCCTCTTCTTCACTACAAGTTTCAGAAGGATTAAACTTTGAATTAGTTAAATCAGATGGCTCAGATTAGCAGTCATCTCATCAGTGAGCCAGACATGCCTCAATCACATTACTATGATTAACAGGTGACACTCTACCTATCTGCAACAACTTCAGGACACCTGACAGTAATCCTCTATACTTCTACAGCTCCTTCTATGTGAAAACTGCAGTGCACATTATACACAACGATTTAACACTCCATATCCAGTGCAGAACAAGTAACAGCAGCGGCCTGAAAATTGTCCAAATCTAAAAAGTCAGCAACAAAACTAGAAACAGAACTTTAAGTTCCTAAAGCTCAGGCTTATATTTTTAATAAACAGAAGAATCGTATCTCTTCAAGATCCACGGACTTCATTTTATGTAGTAACACAGAATTAACAGGACCTAATCCCATCTCGCCATACAAGCATTCACATATCCAGTCTGATAATATTACTACTATTCACTACCATATGCTGTTCGAGACCAAACCACCTTTCTTTTATCCACTGCTTATGTCTCCATAACAGCTTTGGGCTGGTGTGATTTTTACTATGCAAGCACAATGCATATAACGCAAGCATTGCACCCCAAAACAATCAATTTCTGAGTTGTCTGAAACTTTAGTGCACTGCTACAACATATTAATAAAGAACAAAGGATAAATTAATTTTCTATTACAATTTTGAGAATCTGAAACTCAATTGCATTTTTAACAGTTCCCTGTATTTAAAGGGCTGAGGAAAATTAAAAACTAGGCATTCTCATAAAAACTGTTGTGTTGGTTTCCCCATGACAAATGACAGATCCACAAATAAGAAAAAAACCACCTGTTTTCACAGAACCATAGAATGGTTTGGGTTGGAAGGGAAGTTTAAAGATCAACCTTCCTGCCATGGGCAGAGACATCTCTCACTACACCTGGTCACTCAAAGCCCCGTCCAACCTGACCTTGAACACTTCCAGTGATGTGGCATCCACAGCTTCTCTGGGCAACTTGTTCCAGTGTCTCACCACACTCACTGTAAAAAATTTCTTCCTTATATCCAATCTAAACCTACCTTCTTTCAGTTTAAAACCGTAACCCCTTGTCCTGTCACTACAGGTCTCAGTAAAAAATCATCTTCTTTCTTATAAGCCCCCTTTATCTATTGAAAGGCTGCATTTTAGAACAATTGTAAGCTGTATCCAGCCTCCTCATTTCAATTTTTTGGCCTAAGTGAAGCAGAGGACAACATGACTTATGATATCATGGTGAACTTAGTGCCTGTCTTCAAATTTTCATGATTTCATGACAAATTATTTCATAATGGATATTTCATTAATTCATCTTCATCAACCACTCATTTTGTATCTTCATTTATAAAGCACACAAGCTTACTGCTTTGAAAGGAAGCCCTCGGTTGTATCATCTATCTGTTTGTTAGCAAAATGCAGTTTGGAGAACTTTCTGTCTGTACAAATAAACCTGTATCTCTTGTCCTCAAACATTCAACAGGCTGAGAAGCCCAATTAAATTCCCAACAGGTGCCTCAACAAAAACAACCGCCATCTCAACATCTGGGAAAGCAGGTCCAGCAGTGCTGAACTTGCTACCGTTCTACTGACTTAACAGCATATCATTTACCACACTAAGAAACATACTAAGGGTACAGTAATTTTAGGTGTGTTTCAGTTTTTCCTAAAAAAAGCCAAACTCTGTTCCACAGCATTAGATAGTTGCTACTGGAAGACTGCCCCAAGAAGACTTAGTGAGACCAGATCTATAATTTAACTAATATTAAACAGAAATTTAGTTACATCTGCTGAGGAAACACAGAAGAGGAAAAAGCTATTGTTACTCAGCAACACAAATGGTGTTTTACAGGCATATACAAAACAGCCTGCAATGCAAATACAACACCTAGCTAAGCAACTGTATTAATACAAATTTAAACTTCATGACAGAGCTCACCCTTAAGTTCAACAAAGTCATTATGCACCCAAAATCCAAAAAGAGTGCCAGCATTCCTGAAAACACAGCTAACAGTAACAGGAAGCTAAGGATTTAGGAGGGAAAAAATAGTAGCTTCTAAAAAGAAAAAAAATGCTGCTTCTCCAGAAAAATAAGCAGTTGGTTTTACAGGAATAACTGACATCTTAAAGTCATTATACATAAGAGGTAAATTATTCCTATTGAGAAGTTGTTTCCTACAGAAGTGACAAAATGTACCTTTTAGAAGACATTTAAGAGAATAAACTGACATTTATAGCTATTTGCTAACCTGAAAACCAGTACTGAAGAGCCTGCTTAATGAGCCAACTATCCAAATACAGTAAAACGTCATAAATAATGAAGCTAGGTTTATTAAGTTTTCAAAGCTATTTTCTCAGTCATAAATAATAATACAAGAAATTAGTAGCTGATACTAATTTGCAAGAGTAGTTTCTCATAAATTCACCACTGTTATAACAACTTATTAAAATTGTAAGATGATACAGCTGCTTAAGAGATTTTATAGCACTAAACAAACTTTTAAAAATCTGTCTTTCCAAAACTTAAAAACTAGAAATTAAAGTGGTTCCTTTTCTTTACTTCGTACTTGGCAATGTACATCATCCTTGTATAAGTAGAACACCGAAGAACAGAAAACAGTAATTAAAACTTTTTCTGCTTATGTATCTCTTAATACTAGAGTGGTTATAACCCCTTAAGACATTACAGAAACAGTTGCAAGAAAAATAATGTAACTGAATGGATCCTCATGCTCAAATTAAAACAAAAAAAACCCAAACTACTACATAAGTTGAAATGCACATATAACACCTCCTGCTCCCAATCACTCCAAACTAGTGTTCCCCTTGCTGTTCCTGAAAACTGAGGCACAACCCACTGTGACAATACTAAAAATACACACTCTAAAAATACACTAGACTAGGGGGATTGAGAAAAGGAAAAGAGCGTGCTGGAAGTTTTCATGAAAAAGAAGCAGAAAGCTATTTTTAAATTACATTCCTTATACACTCAAAACAATGGGCCAATAACTGCACCTACTTTAGGCAAACACTGTTCCCTGCATTCTCACACTACTAGTCTCTTTGCCTCAGAGGTCACACGCCCAACTTAAAATGGGGACCATCAAGAGGTATATATCTGTACAATGAGGCCTCAAGTCTTGGAAGTGATCCTTTAGGTGATTCCCAGTGACCAAAAAGGCAAGCGAAATGTTAGCATATGAAGACTGGAAAGATTTTGAGGAGCATACAATAAATCATAGCATACCACTTCTAAGGCTTGGTACACCATATCATATTGTCAGCTCAAATCAAAACACTGGCATTACTACCACAGTCAAAAAAAAAAAAAAAAAACCAAACCAACCAACAACAGAGGGTGTTTACAGAATTGAGAAGGTAAAACCAAATTAAGAAAGTAATGTCCTGACAACCAGTCCTGTTAACATTTACTGTACCTCGTGCTCTCTTGAAGCTCTGGACTCTAGAGTCTGGTGACAGATCTGTCTCCCATCATTCATGCAAATAAGCATTTTCAGACTTAAGGATCACTGAGAAAACTTTGAAAATAACAAAATATAATATGAAGATTCTAAACCAAATAAGCTAAGAAAACTCCATGGTCTATTACTGTTTTTTAAAACCACCCTTTTTTCATTATTTAGGATTTTAGGATTAATTATTTAGCATTTTACATGCATGTCTGCTTACTAAAGTTCTTGTAAAATTGTTGCTCCTCCACATTAAGAAGTTTTGGGTTTGTTTGAAATACAAGAAGAAATTTATTGGTTATTTGATCTTTAAATCTACGATGAAATAGCTTTCTTTTCATTATTGGAACATTTACAGAATTAATTTTGTAGGATACTGTCCTGGTTCCAGCAGGGATAGGGTTAATTTTCACAAGGAGCTGGGATGGGACACAGCCAGGATGGCTGCCCCAAACTAGCCAAAGGCGTATTGGACCCCAGGAGAAGCCATGCTCAGGGTATAGCTGGGGGAGCTGGCCAGGGGGCGGGGAGGGCAGGAATTGCTGCCCAGGAGCTGGCTGGGCTTTCTGGGTTCCAGTTGGTGAGCAGTTGTACATTAACTGTGTTTTGTATGTTTCTTTTCACTATTATTGTTGGTTTCCCCTTTCCTTCGCTGTTCTGTTAAACTGCCTTTATCTCAACCCGTGAGTTTTGCCTATTTCTTCCAATTCTCCCCCGATCCCGCTGTGGGGGAGGGAGCGAGCAAGCGAACAGCTGTAGTTCTTTGCTGCTGGATGGGGCTAAACCACAACAGATACTCAAAGTAACCATCCATTTGGTAGTATGAGTACGTGTTTCTTGTATACTTTTAGTAAATTTTTTGCACTACGTGATTCGATTAGATGGGATTATATACACAAGTGCCTGCTGAAATCACAGATATACCTGCCCTCTTAAATCAAACAGCTGAATTTTTGTCTCTTTTAAAACTCCTTTGGACAAAGGGATTTTAGAATACAAAGCTGTAAATAAAAATGCTTTTTTTACTTGCACACATAATTTCATATGATTGAAGCACTCTGGACCACTGTGGCAACACTTGAAGTCATGTCTCTAAACGTTAAAGCAAGTAGAGCCCAAACCATCATAGATTTGATTCTGACAGCTTAGCTGACGACAATTAATAAAATTCCAGGTGAAGACATATTTCAACATTTCACCTCAGCTTGGGTTGATAAGTGACATGTCTGAAGCTTCAACTAAATCTAGATTTTCTACTTACTTGAGGCAATATGAAGTAATAAGGGTAATTTTTACCACATATTCTTCTATATTTTAAAAGACTTCCAACACAAAAATCACTCTTATCTCACTGTCAAATTGCTGCAGGTGAGACAGAGCCTGCATTAGAGCTAGCAGCCTCTGCATTACAAGCAGGGTTATTCATAGGCATCATAGTGAAACTTACTAGTCTTCCCAAAGCAAAAAGAGAAAAGTTTCAAATTTACTAGCTCATTATTTTGAAAGCCTGATATGATTCCCCTTCTACTCCTCCTCTTAGTCCCTCTATTCCACATAAAAACAGGCAGAAAGTTGGGGAAAGAAATGGCTGTTATTTGTATTCTGATTTACAGGGAAGACATGCAGATTTTTAACTGAAAGTTACAACTGGAATACTAAAAACTACAAGCATGTAAAACAGCATTTATCTTACCTTTTAGCCCCTAACCTAAAAGTAGCTAACCTGGAACTCACATACTATACAAGGTACTTATATATATTATATATACAACATATATTAATTACATCAGTAAGTGATGCTTTATCACTTTGTTCATACTCCAGAAGACTACTAGTAAGCGTGCAGTGGTTTTAAACTTATTTCTGAATGGTAAAGTAAATTCAGCTTTGAAAAGACTCTAGATCTTAAGTCACAACTGACTATAAACCATTATGTTGTCTTCAAGCAGAAAAAAAAAAACACCAAACCCAAAAAAAACCCCAAAACAAACACATTAGAAAACATGAATGACCATGACTTAGTGCTTGGAGGTTAAAGACACACAGTGCATATAAACATTTTTCAGGTCTAAACACAGAAACTTAATTCATTGTTGGAGAGGTGAAATTCATTTTTACATCATTTCCTTCTGAGAACAGAAATCATGGAGAAAAATTTGGGGAGTTGGATAAAGCAGTATCCTTTCGGTAGATACAGAAAGACAAAAACCGCTTTCTTCAGAATTGCTATGTTATCATCTTTCCACTGCAGATGTCTACAGCACATATACCTACTGAAAGGACGAAAGAAAAGGTCTCTCTTGCTGTTCTGTTTCACAGTCTCTTCTGGCAACTCATGGTGGAAACTTGTTTATAAATCAGAAACCTGAAATTCGGAGCTGTGTAAAGCTCAAGGACCCAAGCACATAAATAGGAAAAAAAAAAAAAAAACCAAACCAAAACCCACAGGAAGTTTATATTCCAGATTTCCCTTGACTGCTGTGGCATATAGCTACAACCTTCAAGAAAGGTAAGACAGCTAACTTAGATTTTCTCAAAGTTGTCTTCCTAGGCAAACATAGGAACCTTAAGCCATCTTTTGGATTTTTTTTTAAATGATGATTCCCTAATTTTCATTCTCTCACTCTCTGTCAAGTCCAGATTCTTTTAGCTCTGTGCACTTTGATTTCCTTAATCTATAGGAATGTTTTTTATTTTATTCTATCTGCATCTCCAGATCAAGGAACCTTTCAAGATGGTTTGTTTTGTTTTGTGTGTTTTTTTATCAGCTCAGAGTTAGTCATGTAGAACCAGTACCTTCTAAATAATCAAACTCGTCTTCAATGTTCTTCTCAACAGTCTTTTTTAATTGTATATGGAAAGAAAATAGACTGAAAGTGTAAAATAAAATTTGCATAACCCATACTTACTTAGAGAAGGTCCATGGAGAATTGCACAGTTGGGACAATGGTATAGATCAATGTCAACAGCATGGTGCTCCTCTACCCCAACGCAGCTGGAATAATATTTTTAAAATGTTAATGAGAATACATGCAAGATTTATTTTTCAAGCTAAAAAATAATTAAATCTTAAGTCTTTACTAAAACATGCTTAGTCTACAAAATCATAATGAGATACCAAATTATCTCAATTACTGGGTTGACACACAAATTTTGAGTAATAATTTATCACTGAACAAAGAATGCCATTTTAAAAAAAAAAAATCACAAAAAGAAAAAAGAATCAATTTTCTTTAAAAATCAGTCTACAATATACCATTACCCTTCATCCCCTAAAAAAGCTTTGATCCTAATTACAGGAAACAGTTTATGCAAAATCATTCAAGCAATTTTCCTTATAAAAGTTATGATTTCAAAAAAAATTCTGAAGCCTATGTGCTATCAATTTAGAGGAGATATCATGGGGTTTTTTTTCTTGTTTTTTCTTTTCTTTTTTTCCCAGCAAAAAGCACAAAACTGACTCCTATCCCCCAAGACAAATCAATGAAGAATAATTCTTCCTGAAATCTTTACACTACTAGTACTAGCTATGCAAGTTACACAAGTAGCCACAAATCCCTTCGTGGAAGTGTTTTTGTTTTAAAATAGCAACATGTATTTCAAAGAGCACTTTAGAGATGTAATGTTTTCCCAGAGCACATTTTTTCCCAGATAAAACAATCAAAGTGGGATTAAAGTTGAAGATCTTTATAACAGTCACAACAAAACATCTACACTGTATATCTAAATAAGACAATTCTAAAGCCAAAATGAAGTATATTTTCTTAGAAGTTGAAACACTAGAGGTTAATTGGAGAAGATGTGCTTTTGCACAAAGTTCTCAAGAAAAAAAAAAAGTAATCCATACTTGCTGGTAGAATCTGAATCCTGGCAGAGTTCTTTCTCTCAAAAGTTCATTGACACTTACAAAATTGCTGATTTTATAATAGAGCAGCAAGATTATGACACTAAAATTAAGTATTTATATTCAACGCATTCTAGTAACAGGAGAACTTGAACACTACCCCAATTCAGGTAATCCATTTCATATCTAAAGTGTAATGACAGCTTAAACACTGAAGCTTTGAAATGACCCAGCCACAAGAAGTCTTCTCCCTAGCAGCCTAGTGCCAAAATCGCTGTTACGCTCCAGTAAGTATCAGTACATGCTGCCAGAACAATACACTAAACAGACTAGCATTCAAAGCACACCAATGAGCAAATAAAATCTGAAACTGAAGAGCATCTCCCATGTAACTATCAGCAAGTACACCATTCTGGATCCTCTGTAAATACATTCAGCTGGTTCTTCCACTTCGCCATTCACTACATAACACATGAAATTTAAAAATGATATAGCTTTTTTATATACATACTATTTTAAAATCTAAATACAAAACTCAGCTGCCACAATTCATCACAATTCTTGCAATATTTAGTATCTGTTTTAAGACCACAACTACAGAAATTGTTACCACATAAAAAGTCAGCTGACATAAACAAAAAAGGCAGAAGCAGTCTTTTCTAATCCATGTCCCATTTCCTTCTGCTTGTGTTCTATCTCTTTTTATAGAATAGATGAGTGACTCATAATCCTATGCATTAGAAGAAAACTTTTTAAAAATGTACACTCTAAAAGCCCCAAATGCGAAGGCCTGTTTTATGCATCCTTAGGAATACCCTTATAGAATCACAGAACGGTTAGAGTTTGAAGGGACCTTAAAGATCATCTAGTTCCAGACCCCCCCTGCTATGGGCAGGGTCACCTCCCACTAGACCAGGTTGCTCCATCCAGCCTGGCCTTGAACCTCTCCAGGGATGGGGCAGCCACAACTTCTCTGGGCAACTTGTTCCAGTGTCTCACCACCCTCAGAGTAAAGAATTTCTTCCTGATATCTAATCTAAATCTACCCTCTTTCAGTTTAAAACTGTTACCCCTCATCCTATCACTACACTCCCTGATAAAGAGTCCCTCCTCATCTTTCCTGTAAGCCCCCTCTAAACACTGGAAAGCCACTGTAAGGTCTTCCTGGAGCCTTCTCTTCTCCAGGCTGAACAACCCCAACTCTCTCAGCCTGTCTTCATATGAGAGGTGCTCCAACCCTCTGGTCATCTTTGTGGCCCTCCTCTAGACCTGCTCCAACAGGTCCGTGTCTTTCTTATGTTGGGGGCTCCAGAGCTGGGTGCAGTACTCCAGGTGGGGTCTCTAGTACTGTAGTGGAGTAGAGGGGCAGAATCACTACTGGCCAGGCTTCATTTGATGCAGCCAAGGGTGTGGCTAGCTAAATTGCTGATTTTTGAACAGCTAAGGATATGTATGTTTGATTGTATCTTGATCAAGTTTGCACAATTATTCAATGAAGCACCATGCTCCATGGGAAAACTTCACTTACTTCCTTTCCTTTTTCTTGGTGTTTATCTGATACATCCATCATCACCCCAATCAGATTATCTTGCTGACTAACAGTAAGAACTCTGCATCAAAGCATAGTAAAAATACCTCCAAGCTTTGACAGTTGTTTGTCATATTCTGTTTAAGAATGTTAATTTTATTGTCTCTTGTAGAACGTTACAGATAACAGAATTTCTGCTTTATTTTCAGGCTAAGTATTAAACACTTTCTCTGACTTGATTAATTCCATAACCTTTCTTGAAGGCTTTGTGCACAGACAGCAGGCGACACTGGGATGGTATCAGAGTAGCTGGAACAGCCATTCAATAAAGAAAGCACACATTTTCCATCTACTATTTATGCTTTAAAGTCAGAACTAACTGGAAAGGCAAAACACTAACTGGGAGACACTGGAAGTGAATCTAACAGCAGATACCTGACTGATGCAAAGGGCAAATGAGGTGCCAGCACCTGCAAGAACAAGCGTTGCCAAGGATGCCACAAAGCGTATCAATCACATAACAGCATCATTACAAGTCACTTTCCTGAGTCCCTTTCTCCAACATACACAGATGAATCTGACATTAATCATTCTGGCTACTAGCAAGCAATCAATTACTGTGGTAAGTGCAACTTCAGACCTCAAGCATCAAAGTAAGGTCACCAAGAGGTAGCAGAGAGCCTGGAAAGCATTAACATACTCAAATACAATAACAGTCCCAATTCACTGATGTCTTCCTGAATGAAATATCATTATTATCCTTCACCTCGCCATCCATTTGAGTTGAAATGTTTTTAGTATATATTATCTAGTTTCTGAATTGCTCATCTCCTGTAGGGAGGTTGTAGACTAATCTTCAGAAACGGTGAAACGTTTACAGTACAAAATAAAAAATTAAATAAAATAATTATAGAAAAAACAACTGTAGGAGACTATGCAAAAATATATCTCTAATCTGTTCATGAAGGTAGGCCTGAACAGGCCCAATTTTACTTGAAAAATGGTTCTAGAAGCAGTAGCAAAGTAGAAAAATTTAGTTAAAAATAGACTCCATGATATCAGTCTCTGAGTGGTCAGACTTTCATAACTTCCCCGAGGTGTCTAGTATCAAGGCAAGATCAGCAAGAGGTAGCAGAAGAATCAGGGAAACGCTAAGTTTCCTCACATACAAGAACGTGCCCATCCCTGGCAACTGAAGAAATTCCTTGCTACTCAAGTTCAAGGAACTAATTCTCCAGACTTAAATCTCACTAGAAGGTGAATGTTTTTGATTTAGTCTCAACTTTCAATTTGATTATTATATTTGTATATATGTAAAAGGAACGAGTATAAATCAAAAACAATCAGAAGAGGACGATCTAACATACCTGATAGATACCAGTGGATCTCTGTTTTCTGTAAAGGGAAAATAAGGCTTCTTTCACACGGGAAAAAAATGCTGCAGAGGTTGTTTTCTACTGCAGTATTGCTATTAATTTAGAATTTAAGAGATAGGATGAGTACAGATAATTTGGTATGACAGATTCAACAACTATTTCACAATTACACTGGAATGCATTGTACAAGGAGTTAGCAAAAGTCCAAAACATTTACAGGAAGCATCATCCCTGAAGACTACACGGTTGTACATAGTAAGCCACCCAAAGCACCTGGCACCCCTTCTCTCCTACATCAGCATGATGTTGTGAGCAGTTATTGGATACATATCAGTCACCACACAGGCTGCTGCACCTTCCAAATCTAATACCTGCTAGCTCTCAATTCAGCCTGGCTTTTCCCTACTTCTGATATTATCAGGCACGACCACGCCATTTTAGAGATTACTTAACTGCCTCTGTTTTTCTGACTGAAAGAATCCTCGTTTACGGAAAAAATTCAAAGCACTGTTGATTCAAGGCCTTATCTTCAGTGCCCTTAAAGGGATATGACTACTTGAAAACCTATTTTGTCTTATTAAAACAAGTAGTGTATATACTCCACCATTATACAAAATTCCAAGTATAAAAGAGAATGATGACACACACAGGGCACTACAGAAGTTAACAGTTGTCAAGATATGAGTAAAGTTTGGATGCCCATTTCCCCAGTTTAATTGTCACAACTGAACAGACTAATAGGCCAGATTATCAACTGTTGGCAAGTTATTCCCACTAGGAAATTTCTGAGATTTCCTGTATACAAGGCATATTGAAGACATAAATCTTCAAAATTGAGAGATGCGAATAACTCTTTATGATCTAATCAAAGGACTGCAGAAAACAGATGGATCATCCTCAACATAGAAAAAATGAATTAACTTGTCAAGAAGCTGGGTTGTACAGAGGACACCATCCTCTTGGATTCTGTCTTCTGTTCCTTTCCACCATCACTTCAATTCCACAAGCTCCTTTTTCCCCCTCTTTCAGTAGCACATGGAACACAATCTAATGGACTCTTCTTTCTAGATGCAGTTGTACTTCTGATGAAGCTTCCCTCAGTAGCCTCCACTTCTCTCAACACCAGCATCACACTTTGTACTCATATAGCTTCACCAAGCAGATGAGGAAACGTGACAGGCCATAATGGGAGCATCTACTATTTCTTCAACAGACACTGTTAGATAGATATTGTTTTACCATTACAT